TTTAAAAAAAATATTTTATCTAAAGTTTAAATAAACCGTTCCATTTGAAAAAATTTATTCCTATATGAGGCTTCACAGGGTTCAATTTTCTTTACTTCAGGGACATTGTCAAAGTCTCTAAAAAGAGCGGATTACAGTGTCACACAGACCAGCATCTCCATGACCAGCACACCCGAATACTTGAAGGAGGCCTTAGGAATGAAAAAGCCAAAATATTCCCTCTCTTCATCCAACGGTGAGCTAAAACTCAATATATAAACCTGACTTGTCCACATAACGGTTATTATGATTTTTCTTTTTCTTTTTCTTTTTGTCTCCATGTTGTTATTTTTGCAATTCCTTTATCAGGTTATGTTCCAGGGACCCCAGACTACAAAGAGAAGGAGGAAATGTATGATGAAATAATTGATCTAAAAAAGGTGAAGTTCACCTCTCGCACACTCACTCGATGACGTATAAGTGTTTTTGAGGATGTGTTTTTAGAATTTTGATTACATCAGACGGCATGTTTTCAACGAATTGGGCTTTATCCAAACTCTCATACTATCCATCCTATATGTGTATGAGGGATTAGTGGTTAGGATTACTATGTCCCAAATTATAATTAGCTAAAAATAGTATGCCAAATCTTCCTGGATGGTCTATTATTTTTGCTGGATTTTAGGAAATATATCTATGCAAGGTTTTTGAGCTAATATTACCCACAATGCAAGTGGAGGAAATGGTTCTTAAGATGTATTTTAGTATTGCACAGTTTTATCTATTAAGATGTGCTTTCCCGTCCTAGAATGTAGCTTTCCTATTTGAAGTGGAGTTATGCACACTGAAATTTCGTGTACCCATGTGTTTGCTCTCCATTTTCTCAGACCATCCGATCCCAAAAGACTGAATCGGACAAGATGAAAGCCAAGCTACGGCGTCTTGAAGAAGAAAACGCTAAGAAAGACAGACAAATCGAGCAGCTGTTGGATCCAACGAAGGTGATGAGCAAGTCACCTTTTTGTGTAAATGAGTAGCTGAGTGTGAATGCGGCCTGTTTCACACCACACGCATAAACAACACTGTAATGTAACTGCAAAAGCAGGCTGCCATTGTGCGTTCACACTTTGTAACTGAAAACAATATGATTTTTTAAATTGCAAACTTGATTGTCATGAAATCTAAAAAGCATTATTTACAGGGTGGAACATTATCAGACGTACACAGTCGTTCAAAAATCTGGGCTCAGATTTTAAAAGAAAATATCAAAGAAATTAATACTTTTATTTAGCAAGGATGCATTAAATTGA